TTGACTTTGCTGAGTTTCCTTTCATTATTAACCATTCACTTCTCCATGGAGCCCTCTTGCCAAGGTCACTGGGAAACGAGTTGTCGATGTCTTCCTTGACCTTATCTGACTTCATGTAGCCTTGACTCTGCTGATATTCTCTTCTCCTCTGTCTTCTAAAGTTTTCTTTCCTAGCTTCCTCCTCCCTAGCTCCTTCTTACCCACCTTTTCAGTACTGCTCCTCGGCCATGCTGGCTCTGGACCTTGCTTTCCTTTTCTTACTCTGCGTCCTATCCCGTGTGATCTCATGTTCTCACATAGTTCTCACTTTTTATTTTTATTTTATTTTTTATCCTCACCTGAGGATATTTTTCCATATTTTGTACAGATAGAGCGAGAGGGAGAGAGAGAGAGAAACATCGATGTGAAGGGACACATCGAGTGGCTGCCACCCGCACGACCAACCAGGGCCGGGGACAAACTGCAACCGAGGTACGTGCCCTTAGCGGGAACCGAACCCGGGTCTCTCCGGACCGCAGGCCGACGCTCTAACCGCTGAGCCAAACCGGCCAGGGCTAGTTCTCACTTTTTAAATGTCCAGTATCCGTCTCTCTCCTGAGCTCCAGACTTGCTCACCTAAGTACCAAGTACATGACACCCGCAATGTAACGTACCCGGATCTGAACCCCACATCGCCCGCTCCAGATTTCCATCTTTAATTCTCTCTGTGTCAGGAGAGGTAACATCTTCCTCAGAGTTGTTCAAGCCAGAAAGCCAGACAGAGGGGTTCTGCCTCCCCTCTCTTTACTATTCTACTGTTACTAGTTCTACTCATTTTCCAATTCGATCCTTCTAGCTGTTCTGGGAGTCTCCTAGAACAGGTATTAATTAATACTTTGATTTCACAGATGGCACACTTGGAGAAGTTGAGAGATTTTGTTTTATAATTAAAGGGTTAGGGATGAACAATGCTGGGAAAGAATGTGAAGCTTTTGCTTCTTACAGATTACTTAGACTAGAAGGAAAAACAAACAAGTAACCCAAGAGAACCACCGAAGTCGTCCAGGCAGTGGGAATCTGAGGGAATGAGCTTTCATTAGCCTTCGTTTTTGGAGGCATCAGACAGATTCCTTTTCCCACCGTTCCATGTACTTTTCACCGCGGGGAGGTGTTGGCCCTCACTTCCTCACTCAGAGCCACCGCTGAAGGCTTTAAAACAGGAGCTAGATTGAGATCTGATTGCCCCGCTGTACAGTGCACCTGTTGCAAGCACGCAATTCAGTGGTTCTGTTTGTTCCCCAGATCGTGCAGCCGTCGCCTCTGTCCAGATCCAGGACATTTTTGTCTCTCCACCCAAAACAAACCCCGTGTGCTTTGGCAGTCAATTCCCACCACCTACGTAACCACTAATAATGTTCTGTCGATGGATTTGCCTATTCTGGAAGTTTGTATAAATGTATTATACACTATGTAGGTTCTCATGAGTTTTGTTCACAGCATGTTTTCAAGGTTCATCCATGTGGTAGCATGTGTTCGTACTTCATTTCCTTCTGCAACCAAATAATATTCCGTCATATGAATATACCAGCTTTTGTTTGCCCGTTATTCGGTGGGTGGAAATTTGGATCTTTTCCCCTTTAATGGTTTTGCTTTTATTTTAGTATTTTCTATGACAAGTAATGTTGCCGTGAGCATTTGTATACACGTTTCTGTGCACATGTATGTTTTCATTTCTCTTGGGTATACACCTGGGAATGAGAGAGCAGGGTCCAGATACTAATTTTGTGTTTAATGGTTTGAGAAAGTGCCAAACTGCTTTCCAAAGCAGCTGTACCCTGGAGAGCCTCGGCACGGCACGAGCACCCCGTTTTCCGCGTCCTCCCTGACTCTTCAGTGTCCGTCTCTTTATTACATCGTCCTGGTGGCGGGAGGGTATCGTGTGGGTTTGATTTGCGTATTTCTGATGGCTAATGATGTTGAACATTTTTTTGTTTGTTTATTGGTCATTCATATATATATATATATATATATATATACACACACACACACATATAGGAGCAGGTATATACAAATGTGTTGTCCATTTTTAAATTTGGTTATTTGTCTTTTTATTACGAATCATAGGAATTCTTTAGATATTCTGAATACAAATCCTTTATCAGATATGTGATTTGCAAATATTTTCTCCCATTTTGTGGGTTGTCTTTTTACATTCTCGATGGTATCATTTGTAGCACAACAGTTGTTAATTTTGATATCGGAGCTGCGGGTTTTATTATTATTGCCAAGCTGGTGTGATGCTAAGGTGAAAGAGAGGTTTCTGTCTTTGAAATGGCTGGATGTTTTGGAGTCAGTAGACATGCAGTGGAATCTCCCCTCTTCTGACCTGTCTCTTCTCCCTTCATCCTTCCCCGTGCAGTGTTTCCTGTGCTGTGATGGTCTGTGGTGGCCTTGACCCCCAGGAGTGACAGAGCAGGCAGTCTCAGCGTTGTATCAGGGGATTGCTGTTTCTGGGACGTTAGCAGAAACCATGGATCTCATCTGACACCTCAGTTCCCTGCTAGGTCTCTTTTATACATAGTGCTGGTTGCTGAGTTGGTCTTGTCCTTGAGTGGCAACCAAGGTGTGCAGTCATGAACTTGGGGGCCCTGGAGATAACCAGGCAGCAATACCCTTCCATTCGGAGGAGCCCCTTCTCATCAGTGTTTTCTTGCTTCATTGCTGGTTTACAGGCCAATACTGAGAACTTCATGCCATAGGGAAGTTGGATGCCAGTGCGCTCCCGGCTTCTGAATGTTAAGGATCAGTCTGATTTTAAAGAATCTTGGAATACGCCCTGGCTGATTTGGCCCAGCGGTTGGAGCATCGGCCCGCGGTCCAGAGAGACCCGTGTTCGGTTCCTGCTAAGGGCACGTACCTTGGTTGAAGTTTGTCCCCAGCCCTGGTTGATCGTGCGGGTGGCAGCCACTCGATGTGTCTCTTTCACGTCGATGTTTCTCTGTCTCTCTCCCTCCCACTCTATCTGAACAAAAAAAGGAAAAATGTCCTCGGGTGAGGATAAAAAAAAAAAAAAGAATCTTGGAATATAACATAAAGTTATTAAGTTTTAATTTTGTCAACTAGGGACATTTGGTGACCTAACTGCCATCATGAGAGAAAATACCAGATTTTCCGGTCAAGAGGGTTCACAGAATATCAAACTAAATATATTTACCTTTGTGAAAAGTCGATATAGGGTTCTATTTTTCTTATTTTGCTACACATCACTGCAAAATACATTATGGTCTTTGGATTGATATTTGGGAACCACGGGCTACATAGTCAGCATAATCCGTATTTGGAAAGTGGGACCGTCACTTAGTCGAGTCTCTATTCTGTGTGATGCCAGATGACAGTTTCATCCTGATTACTTCCTTACACTGAGTTAACTGTCTTGGCTGTTACACACATCTTCTGTACTTTGTCCCTTTCTCTGCTGATATTTGAGTAGCTCTGCAGTATCACAGATGAGAAAGAATTCTTTTAGGTATATGTGTGTATATATATGAATTGACCTTTAAAAGATTGTAAAAATCACCATTCTAAAGGAAGGAGGGCTTTTATTTACCAGTGCAATGTGTAAATTCTGTATTGTGTATATTCTCGATTGGGAGCCGTACATACATTTTTATCGATTCTGTTTCATCTAAATTAAAATGTCAAATTGATGTTAGGGTTTTATCATAAGACCGTTATTGGACTTCACATTGGCACATTAATTATAATAACTGGGCAGTAAGGAAGCGAGAGGAATAAATACTATGCTATATGTTTGATGAGATGCTAGTCATAGCCTCTTATTTATGGTAATAAGATCTTATTCATTGACACTACTGACAAGCTCTTTTGCTTTCCTTTTCTCCTTTTCAGTTTGGTTTATAAATCTATTTAGGAACCATGAACTGAGAGCCACAATATACAATAAAAGTCACATGCCAAAATTTCCTGTACTCATTCACGGTGTACACATTAAATTCAGCACCATTTGCTCATCACTGTTCCGAGGGCTGCTAAGTACACAGAGATGTATACAGCAGTTCCCACCCTGAAAGCTAGTACTGGAGAAGGCAGGTAGAATGTCCGTCTATGTATGAATAAGTATGACCCACATTGGTGGAGTCACACATGGGAGCCACACGTGGTTCCGTACCTTAAAAGTGGGATAAAATACAAATTCGGAGGAGGAAAGAGGATTCCCAGCCGAGGCAGTCAGTGAAATGTCAGTCTCAGTGGCAGAGAAACCCCTTTGCCTCCAGGCCGTAGAGCCCGCAACCTTCTCTGAACAGACGTCTGCTCCAGAACCGAGGTGAGAGGTAGGCGGCTGAAGGCACTGACGTGGAAATCAACTTTTGTTCTAGGCCCAGCTGCCTTGCAACCTCATTTTGTGTCCTTGAGTATATAAAATTGATGTAATAATATGTGTCCAGCATTTCTCACCATGAAAAATGAGATAATGCGGATGACTAAGCTGCTCCCTGTGGTGAAAGTCAGATTGCTTGGCAGGTGTATATGTTTTTTTCAGGCAGCTTACACCATGCATTTGAATGGTAGCACAGCTTTCCATGACTGAAAGGATTTGTATCCTTCCCAAGGTGCCCAATTTATTGCTAAGGAATAGCATACTCTGTGTGACATCTGAACTGGCTGAACAATTGCCCGAATTCCTTGGAGAAACTGTTTATAAGAATACAGAGCAGTGCTGTTGTAATCACTAAAGTATGTTAAAAGGGAAACATGTTTATTGAGCTGCTACTGCTGGTTTAGGGACTTTGCAGTTGCTTTTTAAATCCTTACATCATTTCTGTTTTATAATAGAGGGAACTGAGGCCTAGGTACGTTTTCAGAAGTTTCTGAGATCATGTAACTGTTTGAAATCAAACCTGTTGAAATCTAATGTGCTATTTATGGTGGTTTTCTTGCATCCAGTATAAATCACCTTTGGATATATGTGCTAATGTTACTTCTCTTGATTTCTTGGCTAGGTTACTTCTAGAACTGCTGGAGTTGCTGTTTGACAAGTTTAATGCTGTAGCCACCGCACACTCTGTGGTCCTGGGATACCTGCAGGACACTGTCGTGACTCCACTGCCTCAGCAGGAAGATGTCAAATTGTACGACATGGCAGACGTGTGGGTGAAGATCCAAGATGTCCTCCAGGTGAGACCTTTTGACAAAGGACCCATGTTGTCAGAGTAACAGGTTGGAACAACACCACAAAATCAGCAGCCTGCACCCGGCCGATGTGGCTCAGTGGTTGAGCGTCAACCCATGCACCTGGAGGTCGCCAGTTCAATTCCCGGTCAGGGCACATGCCCAGGTTGTGGGCCAGATCCCCAGTGAGGGGCGTGCAGGAGGTGACCAATCGATGTTCTCTCTTCATCGATGTTTCTGTCTGTCTCTCCCTCTCCCTTCCTCTCTCTAAAATCAATAAAGAAAAAAAAAAAATCAGCAGCCTAAAGTATTCCCTTCATCATGAACAGAGGGAGAAAGGAATGTTTCTGTGTAAAGGTGATGCTGCTGACCTCATGAATGTCTGTCATCTTCAGAAGACTTTTTTTATTTTTTAAATCCTCACCGAAGGAAATTTTTCCATTTATCTTCAGATCGGGCGGGGGGTTGGTGGGGGGGGGGGGCGGAGAAACATTGACTGAGAGAGACACATTCATTGATTACTTCCCGCATGACCCCAACCAGGGCCGGGACCCACCTCAACCGAGGTACATGCCCTCGACTGGAATTGAACCTCCAACTCTTTGGTCTGTGGGCCAACACTCTTAACTACTGAGCCAAACCGGCCAGGGCAAGAAGACCTTTTAACAAACTCCTTTAACCAGACTTGAAAAGTAGAAGGAAATGCCCAGTACCTAGCAATCAAGGATGTACAGTGTTTGGGTTTCTGTTGTAAGGTACTGTATTTCACTGGAATTAGTTATATATCAAGGTGATCAATATTAAAATGTTCTTAAACACTATTTTATAAACATATATGTAGCTTAATTTTATTACCATTTTCCTACAGTTAACTCTTGCTTTTATTGGGGTAAATGACAGGTCAAGAGCTTCTTTTGAGATGAGAATAAATATCTTAGTATAAATGTATCATTTTGATTGACTTGGTTAAGACTGGAGGAGTAATATTACTGTTTGGTATGATGCTGCAGAGATGGTATTTAGAAATTGTATTTTCTTTCTATATGCTAGGAAAACATATTTGATTTGTCCAGATGAAAATTAGAAATACAATTAAGAGTCAGCTGAAACAAATTTGACATTGTTAAATAGAAATGTCTTAGTTGAACAGTACTTACTAATATGAAAAAAATTAAGAATATGTAGGGAATTGAAAAATGTAACTGTGTAGGAATGAAATTACTTGCATAGTAAATAGTATTGCAGGAATAAATAAATCATGATGGAAAATTGTAGTTATTTTTGACAGTATAGACATGTTCCTGGTGGATTGAATGATTAACTTGGTTATTCATTCATTAGACATTTTTTTGGATTAAATTTGTGTGCTTTATTGATGGCTTAGTAGAAAGAATATGGGTTACAACTATATTCCCTGAGTTCTTTTCCCCATTCTGTCAATTACTATATGCCTGTAGTAGGTACTTGGTGAATATCTGTGTAGTGAATAAAATATTTTTATTGTTTAGAAGTTGGTTATTTAACATTTTATATCTTGGTTTGCTAGTCTGAAGTTTGCTAATCTGAGGTATGATGCTTAAAGTAAATTGTGTTAAGTTCAGAATGCGTATTTTAAGCCCTAAAGCAAAACTAAAATTGTAAAATAGATGTATAGGTAAAAAGTTAGTAAAAGGGATAAAATTGAATAGTGAATACATATTTGATTAATCCCAAAGAAAGCAGGAGAGGAAGAATAGAGAATAAAGGAAAGACAGACAAAGAACAAAACAAAGATAGGATGAATAGAAAATAAATAGCAAGATGTTAGACATATACCAACCATATAAATAATTATATTAAATGTAAATGTACTAACCACTTCAATTAAAAGGCAGAGTTTGCGCCAGGCCGGCGTGGCTCAGTGGATTGAGCATTGTCCCACAGACTGAGAGATCCTGGTTCGATTCCCAGTCAGGACACATGTCAGGTTTTGTGGGCTCGATCCGCAGTAGGGAGTCTGCAGGAGGCAGCTGATTGATGTTTCTCTCTCACATTAATGTTTCTGTTTCTCTCTCCCTTCCTCTTTCTCTGAAAAAGCAGTTAGTCCTGGCTGGTTTGGCTCAGCGGTTAGAATGTCGGCCCGCAGACCAGAGAGTCCCGGGTTCGATTTTCGCTAAGGGCACGTACCTCAGTTGCAGTTTGTCCCTCGCCCTGGTTGGGGTCATGCAGGTGGCAACCACTCGATATGTCTCTCTCACATCAGTGCTTCTCTCTCTTTCTCTCTCCCTTCCTCTCTTTCTCCCGCTGAAGATAAATGCAAAAAAATGTCCTCGGGTGAGGATAAAAAAGAAAAAAACAATTAAAAAAAGCAGAATTTGTCATACTGGTTTAAAAACAATAAGACCAACAATCACAACAAAAAATAATACTCAACCATGCTATTTATGGAATATATTTTATGTTACATTATTACTTTTTAATTTTTAAATAATTTCAAACTTTTACAAACATTATATGGGGATAGTATAATGGGCATCCATATACCTTTTTATTCAAATTCAACTGTTAACATTTTGTTACATTATCAATTGTTTTGTGTATGTTCATATGTAGATATGTGGATATATACATACACATACAAATATTTTTCTTTTGAACAATTTGACTGTAAGTTGTCGAATCTGTCTGTATTATAGTTTTATCAGTTGACCCACAGTAATGATCTGCTTGGCAGTTTTTATTTAAATTTATTAGGGTGACATTGGTTAATAAAATTATATGGGTTTCAAGTGTATCATTGTATAATACATCACCTGTATATTGTATTGTGTGTTCACAACCCCAAGTCAGCTTTCCTTCCGTCACCATTTTCTACCCCTTTACTCTCTTCCGCCTCTCTCCACCCCTCTTTCCCTCTGGTGATCACCAAACTGTCGTTTGTGTCTGTGGTGTGTGTGTGTGTGTGTGTTGTTTGGATTTTTTTTTCCTTAACCCTTCACCTTTTTCACTCAGCCCTCCAACCCCCTTCCCCTTTGACAGCTCTCAGTCTGTTCTCTGTATCTATGAGTCTGTTTTGGTTTTGTTTGTTAGTTTATTTTGTTCATTAGATTCCACATATAAGTGTAATCATATAGTTCTTGTCTTTCTCCTCTGGCTTATTTCAGCTTTTTTTTTTTTGGTCCCTCAGTAGACAGTCCAGTCTAGGGTTAGATACTGCATTTACTCTTCATGTCTCCTTAGTTTGATTTAAGCTCGAACATTTCCATAGCCTTTCTTTACCTTTGTTAACAATGGCATTTTGAAGACCATATCTCCATTTTTAATAAAAATTTCTCATTTTGGGCGAGACATACAATTTAAATATAAATTATAGATAGATTAAAAATAGACAAATGGAAAGAAATGTGTTATGAAATACTAGTGAAAATAATTTGTATCATGGAAACATTAGACACTATTTGAATTTATAATATTAAATGGAATTATTTATATCATAGTACTTATGGCATTTACAACCTGAATGCAGTAGTATGTTATAAAGTAGGTAATCCTACTCTCACAAGGTTACAAAATACTTTGAGTAAGTTTTTATGATCTGGTATTTGACTCACTAAGACTAATGTTCTAAGTTGAAAACAATGCTTAACTCTTGTGGGATCCTATGTATAATACTATCATTAAGATTAGTTATGGTTATGAACAAAGTAAGATATTATGCCTTACTTAGCTTTACCTACTTTGGATTTGTCAAATGTAAATGATTCCTACATTTTGGAAAACAAAACCCATTAGCTCATATTAAAAATATTTACAATAAACTGAAGAACTTAGTTTTATCAGACATCAACTTGAAATGTGAAAATGATTAAAATATGTTATTAAATGAGTTATACTTTTCACACATGTGGTTTTATAGAGTGATTTGGAGATCCTATCACTAAAAAATAGGTTTCACTGATTTTTAATATGTTTATGGAATTAAAATACATGATAGGATTTTAGAACATTTTCATTAGCCTAAAAAGAAACCTATATTCACTAGCAGTCATTTTTCTATTCACTACCACCTCGCCCCCAAGGTGTTTAAGGCACTGAAAAGGTATCACCTGGGAGTTCTCCCTCTCAGTAGCTTCTGGTGCCTAAAGCGCACCCTTGGCATTGCTGTTGCTGATTCAGGTAGCGCACACATGTACCATTAGCATCAGCTATTTGACAGATAAAGAGCATGAAACGAAAACTTAGCTAATAATACAAGCCGAGAAGTCTAACACAGCAATAACACTTCATTTCTTGTGCTGTGTTTAATTGGCTTGAGGTCAAGGTATGGCAGTGTTCTTCCTCTTTTTCTGTTTTTCGCCCCCTCTTTTCTGGCTACTTTTTCTGTCCCAATTTTTTTTCCCAAACATGTTTTAGAACAGTGACCTTAGTCATGATTTGAGTTAATCTGTGGTTGATTTGTTCTTAACTATTTTTTTCTACTCATCTTTATTATTAATGTACAGATTTGAGAATAAAGCCTTTTAGAATAAGAGATTCATCTAACTATTTTAAGTTATTATGCAATAAAAATTATTTGACAACTTGTAAGTTGTTTTTAGGTTTCTATACTTTCCAGTTCCCCCTGAATTCTTTCAGGTTACAGATTACTGAGTAATATTAGGCTATACACCCATCAATAAACTGGCTGTGCAGTGATACAGACACATACATGAACTAATGTTGCTGAATATAAAAACTGTAAGTTGGTAAAATATGTTATATATCTGGGGCATGTCGAATGGACGAAGAAAGGTTTTTAAGGTTGATGATGGGCTGATCCTGAGAGGGTTCACGGAGGGAGAAAAGATGGGAGAATGGTACTCCTAATAGGCAAAGGACAAATAAGATGGTATTGTAATTGGCTCAAAGGAGTGAGTGTTCAAGGCTGTTCAGGCGTGATTAGGAAGAAGAATGGTTGTGGACCAGAAGATGAGTTTGGATCGGTAGATCCGGGTATAGTTTGTGGAAGGCCTAGAGTCATCTAAGAG